TTATGGAAATCATATGAAAGAATTTATTCATTAAAAAAAGCACTTGTCTGGGAAAAAGCTCTTTTCAGTGATATATGGGTACATACTACTCCACACTGTAATTATGAATCTCATTAAAATGCTGTGTACAGGCACACTGTCAGGTACACCTTTTTAACTTCTTGTTAATACCTAACCAGCCAGTCGCATGGCAGCAGCTGAATACAGTGAGTCATGTAGACATGGCCGAGACAACTTGCTGATTTTCAAACTGAGCATCAGAATGGGGAAGAACTTTTACATGACTTTGAATGTGGCATTATTTCTGGACTGGTCTGAGTATTTTAGAAGCTGCTGATGTCTTGGGTTTGATCTTCTAGATATCAGGTGTTATCTCTGATCTCTAGGGTTTAGAGAACTCGTGTCAGCTAACAGGAAACTGGGGCTACAATTGGCACAGGCAAAATTGGACAGCAGAAGATTAGAAAAACAGTGAATCGATGAGTCTCAATTTCTTCTGTAAAATTTGGATGGAGGGTCAGAATTTGTTGTAATCAGCATGAAAGCATTTATCCTGCCTCAACCCAAAAATACCAGCTGATCTTTGTTTGAGTCTACCTGAGTATTGACCACAAAATTCCCTTTATGACCAGCGTACTCGTCTTCTGACAGCTGCTTCCAGCAGGATAACACACCATGACCACACCACAAAGCTCAGAACATCCTAAACTGGTTTCTTGAACATTACAACAAATTCATTGTACTCAAATAGCCTCCACAGTCACCAGATCTCAGTCCAACACCTTTAGGATGTGACAGAATGAAAGAATTGCATCATGGATGTGCAGCCAACAAATTTGCAGCAAGTGTGCGATGCTCATTGAATTAAAACAGTTCTGAAAGCAAAAAGGCCTCCAACCAAGGACTAGGATTTTGCACCTAATAAAGTGGCTGGTTTTAAGAGATAAAATAAAAAGTCTTATTAGTTTTGGTTTTATTTAAGGCTTGGCTTCCCATGAGGAACAGAAGAAGGCTTTGTGCTGAAACAAGACAATTCTTCCAGTAGAAGAGTTGAATTTTTCTTAATTTTGTCCTGCTTTGAGTATTTTTTCCTCTTAAGTACTCAGATGACTGGTGAAATAGGTTAAAGAAGTCACCTCTTAACATGTAATAGCCACACTAATGCACCTTATGAGACAAGACATGAGTTAAAGATGTTTCGACATATGGTAGCACCTGAGGACAGACGAAGAAACCCTCAGCATGTAAATCTAATCTTGTGAGGACTGAACATACAATTAGATAATTACTTTTTTATTGCTTTTGTGGTGAGGGGATTATTCTGCTGCCTGCAGCTAATATAGACACTTCCTTATTATGCACATTCAGCTTTCATATAAGAACCCTCCTGATCCCCACCCCCAATGCAATTAACATAAATTCTCATATGGTTAGTGTGTTCACGAGCACATTGTTGGTCAAGATAAAAAACAATAATTAGGAAAGATACTCACAAGATCATCATGTTGTCCTTTACCATTAGGTTTGCCAATCCATTTGGCACACAATTTTATAACAGAGTTTTAATTTGAAACCATGTAAAACAAAACAAAACAAAACAGCAACACAAAACAAAACAAAAAAACAGAGGATTTAAGGCTTTTTGCTTATTTATCCCCCCCCCGTTTCTTTTAATCAAATTCATCCACACTACCTCAGGCAATGAAATTAAGTTTAACTGTCAGGAGACAATAGTGAGTCACAGAGCATTCAAATCAACTGCCACTCTTGATGATGATTAATATAAAAATGACGCAGGGCTACTTTTGACTTTTTGAATCACATCTGAATCTGAATCGCTCAGATGAGCTTCGTAAATCTCGTACAGTCCTCCCAAGCAGTGTCAATGCAGAGTGCGCCTAGAAAAGCAACGTGGCAATAAAGATGAGAACCGCTTATGCCAAAACCTCCTGAGTGATAATTAAATGAGACAACTGTAAATTACACAAAACTTGGAAGAGAAGTCAAAACAGGCTGTGAAAATAGAGGGAAATGTTCCAACTGGTTGTTTTCTGTATTAATTTAGTGCTATCACTTCTGTCATTTCTTTGTCAGTTGGAGTTGGAGTGCAGGATCATGACATCATTTCCAAATGTCTGTAATGTTCTCACTGACAGGGCTGCCAGTGGGTCTCGTTCTGCTCTGAGCAAGGGTCCAACATTTCTCAGCATGAGCCGCGCTCTGAAGGATGTCCCACAACTCGCAATTATGAGGACATTTTCAAGATAATGTTGTGGATTAACAATCAATAACAGACAATTTTCCAACTTACACTTGAAAGACCAAACCAGATGGGGAAACTGCTCAGACAAGAATGAGTTTCCTATGAACTTGCAGTGGTTGAGTTTCTTTGTTTGCACGGGGTGACTACAGACACATGCTACTCCTTAAGGGACTCTTTCTGTGTGGGATATGCTTTTGATCATTTGTCATAACGGACAGAGACGAGATCTGAGATGACCACACAGTCATCCTACATGTTACCATATTGTAAATCCATTCCATCTTTAATAATGCTATGTGAGTTATGTTTTTGGGGCTCTTTGAAGAGGGAAAAGCAAAATGGAAAAACAAAGTGATGTGCTGTGAATTACCTTTCGATGCAAGGGTGTAAATACCGGGGCAGAAAAATTAGCAAAATGTAAATATATCCAATTTTTTAGCATCTTTTTGCATTTAGAATATTTCCACATCTGCAACAGTTTAGTGTCAGACCACCAATAAAAGCAACCAAATGATGTTTCTCCCTCCTCTTCTCACCCCTGTAGTCTGACAGCACATTTCAACATCTGAGAATCCTGCTGACTGTATCTTCTTGTGCCGTGTCCCCAGACTGCTGCTCCGGCTCCACCTGCCTGCTGCTAAAAGGCGTCAAGCTGGGATAATTGGCCTCCCTGTCCACTTTTTACTGCCATCCACAATGTCTGAAAGCTCTCCTTCACACGCACACGGGGGATACTAACGTGACAGTTCCCCCTGCGCTACCTCTCTATTTGGCCTCTCATCCTCACAGACTAACTGCACATTAATTTTCATTCCGTAGACCATTAGGACTGGATAATGATAGCATCTGTCACTGGAAGCTGGGGGTGTCTTTGGGGTCTTGTGACAGAATTGAGAAAAGAGAAATGGAAATCAGTCCACAAAAAAATGAAAATGGCCACAGATACCTTCTCAAAACGCCTCCCTTTAGCCCTTTGGGACAGTGAGGGGAGATAAAATGCAAGATAATCCCTCACCCAGTGTATTTATTTCAGTGCATGAATCACAGTATAAACACCTACTGACATTGTTGACACTGTTATACAATAATATTATACAGGATCTGGACTGAATGGTAAAAGCAGCATTTTCAAATTTCTGAAATTTCTACTCTGACTGTACAATCGCACATTTTATTTAACTTATAGTTTACAGGTCTAAAAATGATGTCACTGAAGAACATGAAACCCAAATCAATAGGAATCTTGGAAATAAAACTGCTATTTACATGGAAATACAACGATCATGGCTCCAACTCTGCTAAATCTGTTGCCCTCAAAATGTATTCATTTGATTGATGCCTGAAGATACAGTGACCTACGATTAAATCAGAATACAAGTTAATTTAAACATACCAGCAGGCTAGCAGGGTAGAAAAATCCCTGAAAATATGGAAGTAATTTTAGGACCTCTCAGTGTATGAATATATGATCAAATGCTTGATTTTATCTGACACATAAGCTGTCCCTTTCCCCAAGGACAGAGACTTACAGTGACCACAAAAATGCTTTAAAAACAAAGGGCTGCACAGTACATGCTTTTGTTATGGTGGTGTACGTTCTTCATCTTTACATTGTATTTTGCTAAAATATAATTTCATTTTAGGTTATTTTGTATATCGTGGAGCATAAAGATTGTTTTGCTGCATAAAATGTGACATTTGAGCAAACGTATTACATAATATGCAGTAAACATTTCATACAATTTCTCCTTTCTTAATAACTTGGTATGTGGGAAATCCTGATAGCTGTCACATTATATTACTGTTAGTCTACATTTGGTAGATTAAGCAAAACAGAAAAGTTATCAAGCTGCACACATTAAAGAAAGCAAATTAGACAGGAGTACAAATAAAAACCTACCGCTTTGTTTTTGGAACACAAAAGAGCAACGGAGGCTTTAATTTGACTCCACATTTGTACAGATGTTTCTGCAGAGTGGCGATGAAAACTGTATTTTTAAAAAAGTGTTTCTGTAGTATTATTATTATTATTATTTTAATTGCCGGGCAAAAATGAGCGTAAAATAAACCAAAAAAAAAACAAAAACACCTGATGTTTTTGTTTCCAAGTAACAAAACCAGGTTTACACTTAACTATGTGGATTTGTAAGTTTAATTGTATCTACTTTACCTGCTGGTTGTTAAGATACGGGTGCAAAAACAAACTGGATTAATTCTTCCAGTTAGGCAAGTTATGGCCCTAAACTAAGCATAAAGTAAAAGGCATGACTGCTCTTGCACACGTGATAGGATGTTGGCTCCCTCCTGCTGTATCTGTTGTTTGTCACACTGATTGCAGCTCCTCACGCTCCCTGTTCTCAGAGTAGCTGGTATGCCAGCACATCATGCAATCCTCTACAGGCACTGAACCACCACTGTAGGTCTTAGTTAAACTCAATAAAAGGAGAGATGGTGATGTTCTGGGTTCTGCAAATTGCAAACATTAAAACTACAATCAAGACTTACTGTAATGAATAAAACAATTTGTCAGAGCTGGTCTTCACCAGCATCCATAATTAGAAATATACACATCCACTTGAGACCTTCGGCTGTCTTCAAGTTGGTGAAGACATCAAACGCATTCTTACTTGATTCAATTATCTCACGCCAACATATAACACGGCATCACACTGCCACCTAGTGGTCAGGAGATGTGTGTGCAGCGGACATGAACCTCAACAGACACAGAAACACGAGGTCAATTTCTTTCTTTTGTTTTTTTACTTAAAATATGCACATATATAATAATTTTAACCATTCAAATTAGAGTGTAAAAAAATCGTTCATTTTAAAGACAAAACCGTCGCCATAGTGACATTTCTTTAAAAGGGCAGGGAGAGAAAAAGACAATCTAGACACATTCACAAATATACATACAGACCACAAAAACAAAACCAAACAAAAAAAGTGGGGGGAAAAGGGCAAAAAGTATTCAAATAAACTGTATTAACACTTCATATACAAAATTCATAAAGTTTTTTGTGTGGGGTTTTAAGCTCCATTGCAGCCTTGCAATGTATTTTTAAGATCTCATTATCTGTCAGTGTTCAGTGTACAAAAATGTGTAATAATACACATTTAATACACAGTAATAATGTCCAAAGGCATTTGTACAGATCTCTCATGCCATGGCATGTTTTTAACATTTCACATATCAAACAGAAGATGTGTTCAGATGAGATCACTCAAGTTCCTTGAACCGTGCAAACATGGCCTTGCGTACTGCTTGTTTGTAGGTGGCATGGTCCCAAACGACAGGCTCCTTCTTCTTCCTTGGCTAGAAAAGAAAAAAAAAAACTCAATAAGATGTCCAGATAACAAAAACCTTTCATAATGCTAAAATCAATCAAATGAAACCCCGCACTTACCGCGACAGGTTCCGCCCCTAAACCAGGCCTCTCGCTGACTTTATTCATTTCCCTAAACACAGGAAACACTGTTAGGCAAATATGACCAGAAGCATGCTTTAAATTTATTTATTTTTACAATTCTCGTAATATTTACTTTGTTTCCCATTTTAGTCACAATAAACACATTTTGATAATGCCTCTTACCTGGAGCTCCCAGCCCAGGTGTTTTGATGCTGTGGTTGTGAGTGATGGTGTTTTCTTCTTTTCTGTTCTGGTGATTTGGGTGCTTCTTTGGCACTCAGCTGTAGAGGATGCAATCACTTTTACTTAGACTACTGAATTATCCACGCAATACCCTCCTCTGCAAACGTTCCCACTCCACGCATGTCCACTTACTTGTCTTTCCTGGTTCTCCAGTGCCTCCAATTCCTTCTTTGACCTCTTAATTTTAAGGTGGATCTCCATATTTTGCTGTGGAAATAACAATGCAAGTTTTAGAGGCTAAATTTGTAGTATCAGTGCCAATAACTGATGATAGACAAGTCAGAGGGTAGTACTTTGTGCAGATCAGAAAGCTGTTGGTGACGGATAAGAGCATCCTTGTTGGGGAACTGCCTTCTACACAACAGACACGCCATCTTCTTCCAGTCAGTCAGTTTGTCGTCCTTTTCTTTTGACTGGCCGCTCTGAGCGGTTTTAACCGTCTCATCCTCCTTTTCTTCCTCCACCTCTTCATCGCTTCCGGCTCCATAGTCTGATGCCAGCATACCCAGGGATCCCATTGGACGCTGAAAACGGAAGCAGATGAAGGTTAAACTGAGAATAACCAAAACACCAAAAATATGACCCAGGAGGAAATCTTACTTTTGACTTCTCGTCTTTCTTAGCAGGAGCAAGGGGCTTCTTAAAAAGATCATCTCCACCTGCAATCTGCAGATGACAGAATAGAAGGAAAAATGATTACAAAACAAAAGAAAGCAATAGCTGTTACTCCTGCATGTGAAATCGAGTCGACTCAATTATGATGTTTGGGGGTCCCTAACCTTCCTTTCAAATACAGCGAAACCAGCATCGGCCGATTTAGACTGCCTCTTATCGTCGTCTGTTCCGGTCTTCAGCAGAGGAGATGGAGCACGCACAGTTTCCTTTTGACGATTCTGGATCTTCGCCCAGCGCTCCATATCTTTCATTATCTGCAAATAGGAAAAAAAACATTTCTCATCTATTTGCCCCCTGCACACATTTATTTAACATTATGCACAGCAGATTTGCTACATAACTGATACCTTGACAGCAGCTAGGCTTCTTGGCTTCTCCTCCTTATCCTTCTCTTTGTCCTTTTTAGCAGAGTCGTCACCTTCTTTGTCCGGAGCAGCACCAGAAACTGAGCCGGGCTCCTGAGCTGAGCTGGCAGCTGAAACTGGTGCTGGAACCGTTGAAGCCTGAAGTGACACTGACGGCTTCTTCATTTCTAGAGGAGCATCTGCTGCTGGGTTTGAAAGAATGGCCTGGTCTTCAGCCGTCATGGTAACAGGTTGGTTATCTGCAGAGTTACTTCCTGGGACTGGGACATAGGTCTTTGACACAGCATCCCAGTACAAGTACTCCTGGGCTTGAGCATTATAGAAATACTACACACACACACACACACACACACACACACACACACAGAATAAAAATTAAAACCTCTATTCAAATTCCCTTTGGGGTTGCTTAAAAATCTGCTAAATTAAATCAAAGCATCTTCTTATTACTTAATGATTGGGTCGTAATTTTTAATCACCTAAACAATCCATCTTCTCAAAAAGAAGTTGGAGGTACTGGGTAGATGTTTTAATTATGCAGTGAAATCTACAACATACAAACTCGTATTCACATTCTTCACAGCAATCATTAATCTCACTGACTCACTAAACTTTGCACTTTTTTAGGCAGTGTGGAGGCTCACCCTGGAGTTCGGATCGTAGTATAGCGTTGTCTCCGGATCGTAATAGAAGCCTGACGTGGCATCATACAAGTAGCTAGACGTGTCTGGAATTTCAGCTCCTGGAGTAAGCATAGCAAATGAATAAACATAAATACATTGGATGTAGGGGTGGGCGGTATAAACTGTATACGGTAGAAACGATATAAATTTGGCCAACGGTAGAGCTTTTGACTATACCACTCTACCGCGCTAGGGCACAGCAGTATCATCTGCAAATTATGCCGGGCAACAGTAATAACTACGAGACGAAGCACTTTTGGAATATGGGAAAAGCCAAAAACGGCGCTTCCCCCACTTCCGAAACATTGATTCATTAATACTGAATTCTCTCGCAGCTGCTCTATTCCCATGTTATTGCAGTATATTAATGACTAACCTCGTATTGTGGATGGATTATCTCAGTTGTTCTCCTGACTGAAGTTTGGTCCGTTTATAGCATCCTTCCATGCGATTGCATGTGTCCCTGACCACCAGAAACCCTCATGTTAACTTTTATCCAGTGGAAAAAGGTTAGCGTTCATCCTTCAGCTTCACTATGCTAATGTTATGCTAACGTAGCTGTTTTGCTAGCAATCATGTAGTACATCATTATATACCCGCTAGTCCAACTTCAGTAACCCTACATTCAGTAACCCTACAAACGTCACTGCTGTGTAGTTTTCTCTCTTCATTTATGTTGGAAGTGATAGCAGAGCTGTACGTTTTAATTTTTTCAAAAATCTCTCAGTCAGAACATGGCATATCATGTTTAAGTGGAAACTAGCGAGCTAACTTCCTGCTAACGTCGAACTCCGATGAATTTAATAAATTCTGTTTTCATGGATGTTAAACTTAATTGTTACACCTGGTAAAGCAGCAACGCTGATCATTTTATTAAATATGAAAGAATTTAGACAGTTTTAACTCTCAGTGTTGCCGCAGTGTTTGTTTGACTTTGGAACCTGGGCCGTGTACCACATAAAATCGGTTCAAAGTCAGTAAGCACAACCAGAATTCATACATAAGGTACACTGTTGATTTTTGAGAAAATTAAAGGATTTTAAGTGTGCCTTATAGTGTGTAAAATACGTTATACAGAAGAAAAGAATATATCGCGATATATACATTTACCACACATGCTTCAAATTATACCTTGATATGGATTTTAGGCCATATTGCCCAGCCCTAATTGGATGGTAGATGATCCTAAAAAAAAAGACCCATTTAAACAGTCTAACCATAAATGTAGGCCTGTGATCCGTCTGTGGTAGCTGCCATCCCAGAAGACTCTGTGGTCACATGAGTTCCAGCCAACTGGTATGATGGATCCACAGTTGGAGGTGCAAGATAGCCAATTCCCTTTGAGGGGTTGAAAAATAAAGACAGTTATATGGTCACATTTCAGACAGCATATTTGCAACTTTGCTCTTTTGGTATGCAACCTACCAGGGTACCGCTGGGGTCTAATGGCGGCGCAGCATTAGACATCGCAACACCTGAGGAGAAACAATAGTTTTTAAATTTAAAAAATAAAAATAAAAAAAATAAATAAAAAAAGAATTATAACCAACAGGAGAGACACACTAGACTGTATCTGAGAAAGAGTCACCTTGCATTCCAGTAAGAGCACCAGTAGGTGGCTGCAAGAACTGTGGAGGTTGTGGAAACTGCTGCTGCTAAAACACAGAAAGAAAATAGATCATCTGAGTTTGCATCATTCACTTCAGCAATTAGAGAGCACTGCACATTTAATAATGCTGACTCTTATTACTTAGATATTTGTTTTTGAAACCCCAGAACTACTACCACCTCGATGAAGATGCAGAACAGCAGTCAATACCTGTTCACATACTTTTGCATAACACCTAAACATCAATAGTCAATGTAACTCATTGCTGACAAATCATGATGCATGGCAGCACTTGTCAATTAGTGATGCTTTTCATTTTACTTTATTTCCCTAGCTCCTCCTTCCTTCTAGCCTCTTTATCCATCTTATTCAGTAAGTCTGCCCCAGGGCAGCTGTGGCTACAACTGTAGCTTGCCTCCACCAGTATATGAATGTGAGAGTGAATGAATAGTGGAATTGTAAAGCGCTTTGAGGGAACCCAAAAGACGCTATATAAATGCAATCCATTATTATTATTATTATTATTCACTTTCAATCATTCCCTTCTCTCATTCCACTTTTCTTCACCTCCCTTCTCATCCTCACATCCTCCCCCACTGTCATTATCCAACTACTTTACCTTCATATAACTTTCACCCTCCTGTTAGCCCTCTATTTTTCCCACCTTGCTTCTTCGCTTTTTAACAGTAGCTGCCCTTTACAGCACAGCATGGTAGCTCAGTGACGAGTAATGCAGTCTAACAGACAAACTACATCACCTCAACCTGGGCGACCAGGTGTTTGTTTGGAGTTCTGTGTTCTCCTTAGTCATTATCATTAGAAATCAAAGCTCTGGAGTTTAGTAGTATTTGTACAGAACTAATATTATAAACCCTTTTAAGCGGTTATGATCTTAATGAAATTATGCACTTAAATTCACTTTGCCTACTGAACTGAGGAAGGGGTCACTGCTTGGAGCTCCCAATAAAAACAAAAAAAAAAACCCTTCATGAGTTTAACATTCAAAGATGCAAGTTTCTATAATTTTTTTTATAATTACCACAACTTACCCCGATTATGCTGCCGTCAGGTGGAAACCCAAGGATAGAAGTGTTTGATTTCTCAACATCTTTTTTGACACTGAAGGAAAACCAAAAAGAAAAAAAAAAAGTAAAGATTTTTCTAGTGAACATGTCTGATTTGAAAATCTTTGCAACACAGTTACTTACTTTTGGTTCTTCAGGGGTTTTGCAACCTCAGCATATACTCTGACTCCATCGATATAAAGGGGCCTGGGTTTAGTGAGGAGTTCAACCAGACGTGTCACTTGCTACAAAAGAAGAAACAATGGTATGTTCCGAATACTGAACAAATAACCCCATTACAAACTCAACAAGAATGGAAAAGTAGCGATATCTGGCAGTACCTCATGGGAGTCCATGTCAACAAAGCAGAAGCACTTTGATCCAGGTGGTTTGCCTTTCACTAGACGAACATTTCTCTCATCCAAATAAGCAAAGGGATCCAAGGCTTTCAGGATAGTCTCAACTGTTGTTGTGGACTTCACATTTTTTATTATCATGGCTGTAACAGTGACAACAATTTTTTACTTTAACTGTATTAGCACATAACTGAATAAACATATTCATCCATATCAAGATACAAAGGACAACAAATTGAAGTTCGCATACTCTTGCTGTCTTTAAATACGGAGTCAGACTGTTGTGAGGGGTGATGAGGAAGGTTGCGGTTGTTCCAAGACTCTGCCTGTTGCTCCGTATCATGCTGTTGAAGCCGCTGGTCCACCTGCTGCTGCCAGGCCTCTGGAGTGAGGTCAGAGCTACGCTGCCACTGACTATGAGAAAAGGTCTCAATCGGATCCTTTGGTCTGGACCCATTCAGGTTCATCTTCAGCTCTTCCAAAGGTTCATCTGATATGGGCAATTGGGGCTCCTGGATTTGAGGTACTTTGTGATCTGATTCCTGTAGCAAGAGAAAATGCGAGCCATAAATTTTAAAAAGCATTTTTTCACGTCATCTTTTACTTAGATATTAGCTTTATTTTATTTACAAAGTCATCTTGCTCCTATAAGCTAGTACAAGTTACTATTGTTGCTGTTTTCTATTAATGTAAGCCCAATAATCAATGTGTTCTGATAATTCAGAAGAAACTGTTTTTTGAACTGAAGAACTAAAGATTCTTTATTCACTCACATGAACACGTCTTTCACACTCTTCTGGCTGGATATACTTAATTGAAGTAGTTCTAGTGCCAACCTTTATAGACCCCTGAAAGAAGAACAGAAAATACCAGTCAACACTAAACTTCCCAGTTACTCATATCTAAAATACCAGTGACACCCAACATGCACTGTGGCAGGTTTAGCCCTCCTCTCTTCTATGAGGACAAAATGGGCCATCACTAATGAAAAAGTGCAAAGCCCATGTCCATGACCCATGCTACACATGGGTCATTAGTCCCCGAAAAAACAGCTAGTTGAAAGGGGACCACAAATAAGCGCTGTCTATGGATTATATTCATTACTACTCTATCAATAGATAAAATTATCATGTGGGCCATTATAATCTCACATTTCTTGAGCCAAAGTAACATGCTGAAATGTATTTTTTGCCCAACCAAAACCCAAAGCTATGCAACTCACTATTAAACAAGAAAAGGACAGGGAACCCCAAACTGAAGAGCTAAAATAGGCAATGTTTTTCTTCCTTTTCTTTTTTTGTCAAAAATAACTGCGATCATGCCAATTTTTTCCCCCTCTCAATCCACCAGCCTTATTAAACAGTCAGCACATGAAGTCTGAGAAGTGTCATTAGAATCAGATTATCTACAGTTGTCCCTTTCTCACATGGAGCACGCAGTAGATATGTCCACATTTGATGCATTGTCAATACTAAAAACACTCCAGAGAGTTGCATAGTCAGAGCGGGTAGGAGGCTGGACACATGGCGCCCACTGCTCCTTGCGAAGTCACCAAAACTGCACTAGTCTCACATTTGCAGAATCAGATATAACGCAGACTTAGATATAGAGAGCTGGTCCAGACATTAGAAATTTCACTCTTGGTCTACAAGACAGCCATCCACGGAAGAATAAAGGTCACTCTAAAGTTCTAGATGAGAACCAAATTCTGAGCAGATGAGTTGTACAAACCAAACATTGCCACTGTAAATAACCCATTTCCAACACCAGGCTGTATCTGCATGAGATGTATCCAAGCAAAACCTACAGTACGTATAAATGTTTTTACAAATTTTGAATCATTTATCATCCATAACACTGTGGAAGTCAAAAATGCATCTGAATGTGGCCAGTGTGTCTTCATTCCAGAGCCATTATTTTACCCCCCAAAAACTAGAGCCATCCTTTTCCTCTCCCAGGAGTTTCAAGGTGGATATTCAAATATTTGTCATTAAAACCTGACAACTGATTCCATTGGCGTATGTTTTTTTGAACGAGCCGATCACAAGCTGCTGAACATGTACAAAAATAAATAAGTTATTGGTGTAATAAAGGTGAAAAGCAAAACAGTCAACTTGAGCCAAAACAGCTACACATTTCAGCAAAAATCCAACTGGCCAAGATAAGTCAAGATCAAAGTTGCTCCAAGCAATCCAAAGGCCGATATCGAAAACCACAAAAACAAATAAATAACTGATGAGTTCAAGAGGCCAGCAAGAATTTGCAAGACTTGCATTCTGAGAAAAAGTTGAAGATAAATGAAATTGAACCAAAAATATAAGACATACTGCAGAAACCTGAAGACAAGACTGTTTGCAACTGTGTCTTGAAGCTTTGTGAATCTGTATTCCCCACTTTCAGGCATTCCATGAAAATTTGTGCAGTCAGAGAATCCATCCAATAAATGTTGTGGCATAGCAGCAAAAACAGAAATGTCAACATAATGAATGACCCTAAAGGAACAGTCAGCGGCTCGATCACAAATCAAACAGCTTCATTACGAGGAAACGCCAAAATAACTTTCTTGGCGATTCAACAACAGCTGAAATAATATAGTCAAGATATCGTCCACTTATTTCAGTTTGCACCAAAGTCGTGAAGCAACAAACTACAGCGCCAAGCTGCAAGCACAGCTAAAAGCTCTCGAATGCAAAGTAGTTACAGACATTATAGATAAGTGGGTATTCACTATAATGCTTTACCTGTCCTAAAATTACAACTGGAAAAGGTTTCAATCAAGACCCCAAAATAATAATTTGAATGAAGACAGCCAGCAACACAGCTTACAGCCACCACACACAACTCCTACAAAACAAATACGGTCAACTGGTGAAAAGTGACATCTTTCAGCTACTTCAATCAATCAGTTACATTTCAGCTACAATACTGTTTTTCAACCCCAAGCCTCAAGATGAACCGACTGTCACCTTCTGATATGCCTTCAAACTCTATTCCTCAAACTTGGAATCTTTCAAAGGGTGCCGGTACAGAAAACGAGCACCAATCAGCCTCCTTTTTCCCCCCATTTTATGGGAAATCCCGTGAAAATTGCTGTGTAAAATGTTAAAACTTGTAGCTGCTTACTTGAAAACAAAATGCCACCACAAGACATAAAGGCACCCATGTGTCGCAAGCAGCAAAAAATTTCCTTTGGTCTTCATAACCAAATAGAGTAAACGTTCGAGTTTAAAAAGAATAAATGTTAAAAATCATTGATTCATTGTAGATAATGAGACTAGCTTTTCATCAAACGTTAAACCATGCAAGAACTATATTTATAGTTTCTGGTTAAATATGTTGTAGTGTTACTCGTTTGGCACATCATGGCTGAAATCTGAAAAGTTAGGACTAGTAATCAATAAAAGGAAAACCAGTTACTGTCTGTACATACTGTTTTAAAGTCGTATTTTTTCTAGATCGACTTAATAGGTTATCTGTGGCATTATTATGGCTGTGTGGATAAGCACTGATATGTTAATAAAAGAGATTAGGACCATCTATTAAAATATATATGTATATATACATATATATATATATATAAATAATAAGAAAAAAAAAAAGCTCTCTTAAACTGTCGACATCTGACATCATCTCCTCAGCCAAGATGACTTCACTAAGAATTAAAGCAATCCCTTCCATGGTTCTCTTCCTCCCCATTTAATAAATGCCCCCTCAACCCCTAGTAATCCTGATGGAAGAGATGGCCTTCGTAGAGTGACGAGGATGGGCCACCTTGTTGGACTCCATGAAGTGGACTGCATCCTCGAGGTTTAAAAACTCCACATAGGCCGTATCGTAGCTGTAACCTGGGGACAGCATTTGAAATACAGATGGGTTTTTGTTAGTCAATGCCAGTAATGATAGTCACCCAGTGAAACATTACAAGAATGCATTTGTGAATACATCGAGACAAAGCGAGCGAATTTTCACACCTTTACCGACACCCATACCTTTTCAGGAAAACTTTTAGTTTATGCCTTTTTTTTTCTTAATCAGTCTTCAGATGACTGACGACATTTCAGACTCGTCATGAAAGGCTTTGATAAGCCAAGCCTTAACAAACCACTGGCAAGTGAGTGTTTGAGTAGAGAGCACCATGGAGACAGAAAAATTTACAATTTGTGTTCATATCTAATCAAAAACGAAAAAAGGCACCCATTTCTGTGAGGTGTTTTGATACATTTGACATGATCTTCACAAAAAAGCTCAGCATCATGAAGGCACTGCGTGTACAGCGACCCACTGAGGAAAACTTTCACACTAAAGCAGATGTTTAAATCAGGAAGATGAACAAAGCGCCAGCAGCGGGCTTTCCATTTCAGATTGGCAGACATCTTTTCCCCCTTGATCAGAGTACTTGGATAGCGTCCCCGAAGGACACATCCAGCAAGTCACATGCCACACGTCTTTTTTCTGACGGGTCACCAAATATCACTCTCCAAAAGCTGCTAATATTTAATCTTGCTAAGTCTTTTTAAGCGCTGGCAAAGACCCCAGGTCCTCAAACATGAAAAAGGATTGCAGAAACACCCCACCCCCCTGCTTCTTTTCACTGAGCAAGTTACCAGAGACAACCAACAAGAAAAGCAACCAAGAATGTAAAGAAATAAAGAATGCGGAGGTTCGAATGTCGTAAAAGCGAATCGTCAGGACAGACTAGCGAGAAACTGTCCCAAACAGTTCCACAAAGAAATTTCATTCTTACCTGGCACAACCTTCTTGATTTTCATCCCCTGCATTGGCACACCATCACGAGCTGCAAAAGCACCAAGAATCTGCAAAACATTTCAAAATGAGTAAGCTATGTCATGTCTGTCTATGCCAATTAAAAACACAGTATGGTTTAAAAATAGATAATGTAAAAGACAAGGTTGCATTTCCATTTCAATTACCTGCTCCATTGTGGCAGTCTTAGGAATACCAGTTACAGATATAGTATTGGAAACGTTGTCTTCCATTGATGCACTCCTGTAATCTTGATCCTTTCAGGCAGCAGCCATTAAAATATTCAAATATTATTAATACAATATATTGTTAAACAAATACTAGTGAGGAAAAACAAATTACACATACCTTGGAACCAGAATCGCTAAACTTTGAAGGTGAGATTGGTTTAGACTCTTTAAGGAGTTTCTCTGGAGCTTGAAGTTCTTCATGTTTGTAGTCAAAAACCCCTCCAGAGCCTGTTCTGTAATCAATGTCCCTATAGTCCTGATCTCTTGCCTGTATAGTGCTGCTGCTTGGGAAGTCCTGTTCGGGCCCTAGCTTACCCCTTCCAGGTCCTTGATTTGGTGGGATATCCTTCATCTCTTTAAAGCGATCAGTTGGCTCCTGAATTTCGTGTAAAGGATGATTCTTCTCCAAAGGCGGTCTTTCATCACAATTTGATTTATTGTGAATATGCTTTGGGTCTCTTTCTCCAAGCCAATGTTTACCCTCATTTTCTCTTCCTTGAGGGCCAGTAAGGGGACTTATTTGTGGAAGTGGAAGATCTTGTGGGCCTTTGCTTCCAATTGGTGGTAGACCCATGGGAGGAAAGCGATCACGAGAAAAGCCAAGATCCTTCCGTGGAAAGTCAACAGATGGTCTATCCCGCTCATTAAAGCCTGGTGGATCCCTAATATTCACATCTCGGCCAAAACCTACAGGTAAGCTGGGTTCAGGTACACCACCCATACCTTTGTTGAAGAAAGAGTTGCCATCCTTTCGACGGTTCTTCCATTCTTCTGCAAGTGTCATCTCTTCACCACTCCGATAATCCATAAGGGGACTGTTACTCTGCTCAGAATATTCTCTCTTTCTGATAGTGTCTACTGGACCCATAAAGTCTGACCTAGGAGGACCGACATCTGGAGGTATGTCTGGTCTTCCTCTGTTTTGTGGAGGGACATCATTATTTCCGAATCTTAAAGGAGATCGATCTCTACCTCTAAATTCAGCTGAAGGTCCAGGACGATTTCTGAAATCCATATCAGAATCAAAGCCACCCCTTGCATTGAAAGGCGGCCCTCCTCTCCTGTCAGTGTCCATCATTCTCCTATCACGTGCAGCCATGTCCATATCATAGCGACCTGCCTCTCCCATTGGTGGTCTGTCATGCATGTCTATAAATCCATCCTTTCGCTCCATTTGATCCATGGGGAACCCTCTTCTTCCATCAACATTGGGATTGCTAAACCGTGGCATATCGTAATGGAATGGTTCCCTCTCCCTCATATCCATAAACCTGTTTGTTTCTCGAGGCGGCATACCCCTGCCTCCCATATCTACGGAGTTCCTGCCGGGCCCAGGGAGACCTGAAGAATTCATAAGTTTGTCTCTAATGGAATTTTCATAGTGCCGCCGAAGACTGAAATCAGGCTTTTCTCCAGGTCTGAAGAACTCTCTGTTTGGCTCCCTTCCTCGCATATCATGTTGGTCCATATCACGCCCCCTCATGGGTGGCCCATCCATCCTCCTCATTTCCATAGGCGGCAGATCAAGGGGTCTTGGGCCCATATGACCTATATTCATCCCATCTCTACCTCTATAGTCAGGCATGGGACGATCTCTGCCCCCAAACATTTCTCCACGGTGATCACCACTGGAATATATTAATATTTATTAAAATATTATTTAAAACAAAAAACAGGTGCAAGCATGGTAGAACTAAGTGACATCCAATGATTCAGTTTAATTGAATTCACTGAGGCTTTATTAGCATGGGTTTCATGAAACAATAGTGCAAAAGCATCAGAATTTATCAAGCTATTTGGATAGTACATCATGACAATAATCTGTACATCATGACAATAATCTGTACATCATGACAATAATCTGTACATTAATACAGTTTTATGCTTTATGTTGACAACATGAAAATACAATGTATCACATGCATATCTGTGTGCATAGGTAATTTAAAGTCCTTAAGTTGTGGCATGTTAATTAAGAATAGGTATTCTTTGAAAGAATATGTATTATGTAGATTTTGTAAATTTAAATATACAAAATCTGAGGATTTACTTTGTTAAAGCAACTTTTACATTTCAGAAAATGAATGTCTGTCTTAACCTCACTTGCTTAACAGTTATCACTGACCACATATAACCTTCATATCATCTTAAGATGTTTATTCTTTTCCATTTTCAAAATAGGATTGATTACATTTTTATACCACCAGCTGTATAGTTTTACACCAACTGGTGTTGGGCTAGGAGTGGGAACTGTATCGTTTCTGAGAAGGACCAGTTAGTCCCAGCACCAAATGACACAGCAGCTGTTGTGTGTGGGGAGATTTAGCATGCAGGTTTTTATAGGTTTGGAAAAACATTTGAGTGAGAATCTACATGTATTTGTTTGTGGTTCTTTGTCTACATGAGAAATGCCTTTACAGACTTTTGCTAATAAAGGTTCTGACATGTCCCCCATTGTGTAGTGCTGAGTGGACCTCATACTTCACTACTCTACAGCAAAATGGATAATCTTAAGCCAGATTTGACAGTGAGCGGATATGTTTATCCAGATCAATACAAACATTCGATGGTTCAAGGTAGGTAGCAAAATGTAATGCATAACTTTTTCAAATTAATGATAGTGCCAAATCACATCAGCAGTCGCTTAAATGCGCTATAAGTTGTAAGGCAAAGACCCTACAATAATTATATAATAATCTTTCAAAATATGCAAATACATTTCCTACTGCATGCAAATAGCATTACAGATAAAAACATGTGAAATTGGGCAGAAATAAATATATATACACAATAGCACATCTTAAAGTCAGTATGCGCTTATGACTAAATGATGCTCGTTTACCGAAAGGGTGGTCCTCCCCGTGGTCCTTGACCTGGTCCATCCCACATTCTTATAAGTCAGTATCCTATCTGCAGAGTAAAAAAAAAACCAATTTGCGTTATTATCCACACCATCTAAGCTACCTATGGTACATCGGTCATTTAATAATAAAGATGATAACTACTGGGCTTTGACAGAAAAAAAACCAATAGGACTGATCAGAAATCTTTGAATGCACAGTCACGTGAAGTGTCCATTTATATGTCAGGAAGAGCACTATTAGGCCGAAACAAAGATGATTTTCAAAAGATGGCTGCACGGGATAAACATGCAGTGTGGCGTGAGTGCTAATGGTTGCCCACAAAAGAACGGCTCGCTAATTATAGCCATAGGTAGGCCTCACAAAACTACGCCACAACATAGACAAACAATGATGTCCTACTAATTGAACTGCGAAGGAATTCAACGACACGATCGAATCATTTCATCAGCGACAGTGTTTTAACTTGTAAGACCGTTGTAACAAAAGTCAGTCTACCGTAAGTGATGAGTGACGCTATCGAAGCTAACGTAACTTGGCTAACGATTAAAGGACGTTTTCGTTTTCCAAGCTTCCAACTGCGCAGCACCTTCACCAAGGCTTATTTTTTTTACAGTATTATTACGTGTATATTCAGTGTATGGAACCCACCTCGGTTGCTCCTCGAGCTGAGAGTTGATACTGCGAGAATTTGTCGCTCAGACCGTCGATGGCTTGAACGAACTGCCGAAAAATGGAGGCGTGTGCTCTTCTTCTACAGCTGCTGCAGCGCAGACTCGTCTTCTTCGTTTTTGTTATACTATACCTATGCAGGGAGAATTGCTGCCACCCAGCGGTTATTAAATACAATAATAACAAGAAGAAGAAGATGATGATGATCTCCTCCCACTGCACCCCAAAACTTTCTCTGTGGTCTTTCTCTTTTACCTCCTGTCTGGAAGTTCCATGTTCCACTGCCTTTGTCCAGTAGATCCATTATCCTTCCTCTGCACATGTCCAAACCATTTCAGCCATCCCTCTCTAATTTTACCTCTATGACGTGCTTTCTAATTTCTAATCCTGTCCTTTCTGGTCCCTCAAATGAAAATTTAAGCATCTTCCACTCTGCCACCTACAGTTCCTCCTCTCCTTTTTGTTAGTGCCTCATAATAATAATAATAATAATAATAATAATAATAATAATAATAATAATAATAATAATAATAATAATAAGTTTCATATTGGGTGTCCAATTGAGTTTAGTTTTCAAAAGTCACTGAAAATCCAATTTACCACAGACAATTATAGAAGCCCCATGCTAAAGTCTAAAGCTTAAAGGCACAATAAACAATATAAATATTGGCTGGGACATTTTATGAACATGCATGTGTTTGCATATGTTGCATCTATTGTTTGTTTTCTGTGTCAGCAATTATCACAGTTTTTAATTAAATACACTTTCTTGGTATAATATTACTGGAATTGCTGATCTGGTCTGACATTGGGCAAAAGGCATGGATTCTTATACTAATTGAGAAACAAAGCAAAACATAACAACACAATCAAATATCAAATACTGTATCATGTAAGTGAAGGACAACTTCAGAAGAATGTCAGCTTGTTTCAGCAACAGGAGTATTGCTCATTTTATTCATTCACAAGCATTGTAGCAACTTGTTAGCTCAGCTAAAGGTTGCCAAATACACACAATTAAAAAAAATACACATGTATACACATACAATTCAAATATACATAGTCGTACAGAATATGGACTCTGCCATAAACTCTGAGTTTTACTAGCTACGAGTTACAACACAATAACAACTAAAACATCACTCCACACAGAATGCTCTACATCTAGTTTTCAGTGTTTTAAATGAAGTGTCAAAGAGGACGGAACACAATTATCAATACAGCGGCTAAAGACTCTAAACGGAGGCGCAAATAAAACAGCTAAAACATTTCAATGAACTTAGTAAGCATATGTAATCAAGTTGTTCCTCTTGAAACATATTCGTACATGACTGCAACAAATATTAAGGCACTTTAACTTAAAACATATGCTTTCTTATGCCTTAAAATTCTAAGTTGTCAAAAGTTGCCCGGTAGTAGTCATGGTGTCAAATTGAATCCACTGTATTTTATAAAATATTTGAATACCACTCATATTGTACAAGTTTGAAATCTTTAAGACGGCTGAAAAATAATTATTTGGACTTTTAGTTTTATATTCAATTACTTGTGAGATGGTGTGTTGCTGTCTATTTTGGAGAGACTTTTAAATACAACTCTATATATTTATTTTGAAATAAACCTTAGTATCGTTAAATTACCAACTCATAATTTTAGGCCACAAGATATAAACTCAGGATTTTAAGTTCTGAAGCTAAAGTAGCAATTTGCCAAAACAAAGACAAATATATCTATATACAGTGGCAGGTTGAATAAAGTTGAGTTAATTTCACTAAACTACGCTGTGAGTTTTTTATAGTTCTCAAGGAAAACAAACACAACAGAAGACCTACTTTGCAACAAAACAAGGGAGAGTGGCGAACACTATTGAAAAGACTAGTCATTACATAATGCAAAAGGATGAAAGTGAGTTGTTGTGGATTAATTCTGCAAACTGGGGGTAAACTTAGACGGCAAAGACACAATATCATGATGCCAGATTTATTGGCTGTACTGCACATGGGATTGTTGCTCCTCCTTACGTGTTTGACTGAGGCCTAGTCTCCTTTTCTCTGTGGCAACATTTGAGGAACATCACCATTGCACCTTGCCTGCTCTTCCTGTCTGGCTGCACTGAGCAGGGAGAGTGCAGTCTGTGTTTCCGGAGCCTTTTCGCTGCAACCACCTTTCATGTTGGCGGCAACGCCGTCGCTGCCACCTGCTGGAGGAGCAGGAGCACCGCTTGGTGCGTTGGGGTCAGCTGGAGCCCCCGTGGCCCCAGAATCGCCCTGCTCAGATGCTCGAAGTCTCTTCATGAGAGTAGTCACTCTAACAGCTTTCTGTGAGTAACGAAAATTTAGTTCATATAAGATGATTACATACAAGGAAATACATTAGTCCATCTTTTCACTTGTGCTCATCATTGGCAACTTCACTAGCCACTTCATTAGGCACAACTGTTCAACTACTCATTAATGCAAAAATCAATCACATGACAGTATCTTCATGTATTTAGACACGTAGGCAATATCCTTTTGTGCATTGTGCTCTACCTACATACAAGATGTATTCTAATATCTGTAGGTACTTTATATATATTTATATTGTGTGTATTTATAATACAATATAAGATATAATATATAATCATGTAATATAAATCATATAAAACATATAAAACATATAATCTATATTGTATTCTATTTGTCGAACCCTTTTTTTGGACCATGACACCAAAAAATATCCCTAATCTGTGTACAAACTTTGGAATAAATGCCATTCTAATTCTGATCCACTGAGCAACACTGGGAACCAGTAACTCAAGACTTGAATGCACATCAAAACTTGAACGACATGGGCTACAGAGCAGCTGAAGACCACACCATGTGCCACGCCGCTCAGCTAAAAACAGGAAACCGAGGATACATTTTTCACAAGGCTTATCAACATTGGACAATAGAAGATTAGGAAAAAGTTGCCTGTTTGATTGTAGGTTCATAATTTTGTGTAAACAACATTAAAGCATTCTTCCTTGTGTAAACAATTCAGGTTGCCGTTGGTGGTTCAACAGTCTGCGGTAATTTTCTTGGCACTTTGGGCCCCTTGGTACCAACTGAGCATTATTTAAATGCTACAACCAACAGTTTGAAAGCAAGCAGGTACCATCAAAGTGTGTCTATTCTAAGAAACAGAGTCAAATAAGAGTCATTTTATGGATAAAGAAATATGTTTTAGACAATTTATACAACTAGATATAGCCTGCTAGTTGGATCCTGGGCCACAACTGAATATAACGTATGCATTTAATGTATGTAATACACTAAACATTACATTAATTATGTAATTACATTACAGCATTAATTTAATGATGTATACGTCACATGAAGGACTACCTTCCACTTGGCTTTGGCAAAGTTCTTTTCAATTTGTGCACAAACGCCATCCTTGATGTTCTTATCTGAGGCAGCATTGCCAGAAATCCTGAAAATAAGTAACAAAAGAGAGATTTTCCTCCAGTGCCAATCTATTCATCAACTTCATAATTTAACTTGTATTCATGGTACTGTTTACATTTGATTTTGGTTCTTTACCATTCATGGGCTATGGCTTCTTGTGCCGTCAATCGCTGATCTTGGTCCACTTCCATTAAAGATGCCACTAAGCTTTTGGCTGTAAAAAATACAAATAAAATAAACAAACAAACAAGAAATAATATAAAAAAATTATTTATACCTTGGACACATCATTTGCAATCTGCCTATTGCAGACACACATACATGCAACCTTGTTTCCAAAAAAGATAAGGAGTTGTCTGAATTCATATGGGTTACATATCACTTGAGTGCAGATGACCTGAACATCTCAACTCAGGATGTGTTTTAGAGAGACCAGCCGGATGTAGCAGTGTGAGACAGCTGTAGTAAACTAGTCTGATTCGAGTCATGTGATTGCTACTGACTCTTTTAGTACAGAGTCACACTGCTGGATTCTGTCCATTGTCTAACATCTTTATGGCAGTATGTTCAAAAATATTTAGACAGTGCTGAGTTTTGAGGTTTGCATATACAGTGGGGCAAAAAAGTATTTAGTCAGCCACCGATTGTGCAAGTTCCCCCACCTAAAATGATGACAGAGGTCAGTAATTTGCACCAGAGGTACACTTCAACTGTGAGAGACAGAATGTGAAAAAAAAATCCATGAATCCACATGGTAGGATTTGTAAAGAATTTATTCGTAAATCAGGGTGGAAAATAAGTATTTGGTCAATAACAAAAATACAACTCAATACTTTGTAACATAACCTTTGTTGGCAATAACAGAGGTCAAACGTTTACTATAGGTCTTTACCAGGTTTGCACACACAGTAGCTGGTATTTTGGCCCATTCCTCCATGCAGATCTTCTCGAGAGCAGTGATGTTTTGGGGCTGTCGCCGAGCAACACGGACTTTCAACTCCCGCCACAGATTTTCTATGGGGTTGAGGTCTGGAGACTGGCTAGGCCACTCCAGGACTTTCAAATGCTTCTTACGGAGCCACTCCTTTGTTGCCCGGGCGGTGTGTTTTGGATCATTGTCATGTTGGAAGACCCAGCCTCGTTTCATCTTCAAAGTTCTCACTGATGGAAGGAGGTTTTGGCTCAAAATCTCACGATACATGGCCCCATTCATTCTGTCCTTAACACGGATCAGTCGTCCTGTCCCCTTGGCAGAAAAACAGCCCCATAGCATGATGTTTCCACCCCCATGCTTCACAGTAGGTATGGTGTTCTTGGGATGCAACTCAGTATTCTTCTTCCTCCAAACACGACGAGTTGAGTTTATACCAAAAAGTTCTACTTTGGTTTCATCTGACCACATGACATTCTCCCAATCCTCTGCTGTATCATCCATGTGCTCTCTGGCAAACTTCAGACGGGCCTGGACATGCACTGGCTTCAGCAGCGGAACACGTCTGGCACTGCGGGATTTGATTCCCTGCCGTTGTAGTGTGTTACTGATGGTGACCTTTGTTACTTTGGTCCCAGCTCTCTGCAGGTCATTCACCAGGTCCCCCCGTGTGGTTCTGGGATCTTTGCTCACCGTTCTCATGATCATTTTGACCCCACGGGATGAGATCTTGCGTGGAGCCCCAGATCGAG